CCGGTTCAGATCCCACATGAGGGCCAGTGACACTGCGCCCTCTACAGCTAAGATGGTGAAAACAGCTCGACCTGGAGCTGGGCTGCCCTGAGTTGCCGGCGACGGTGTAGGCTGCAGTGAAGCTGCAGTGAGCTGCCACAAGCTACCGTGAGGGGCTGGGAGCCAGGGTGAGTGGCCAGCAGCTGGAGTGAGCTGCCAAGAGCCACTGTGAGCGGCCATCCAGTGGCCGGCGACCAATCTGCCTCAGCCGGGAAGAGCGCAATACCACCATGGGCCAGTGAAGCGACATCCTCCACAACTAGACTGAAGAACAAAAGGATAGCAGCTTGTGTGTTCCCCTCACCCAATTCCCCAATAAAATCTTTAAAAAAAAAAAATAATTTAAAAAATGATCTTTTAACTGTATATTCAGTAACACATAAACACTAAATCATAAAGTTACATAAAGAATCTAAAGTTTTTGATGCTTCATGGAAAAATAATTAGAATTTATGTGCTCAACTGAGGAAAGTTTCACCAGAATATTTGCTATGAACTATACAATTCCCAATACTACATCTAAAGAAATACATAAGGACACGTAACAAATTAAAATTTCAAGAAATACCAATGACATAGCTTTTACTCTTCAAAACTACAAGTAGCTTTCTAGTTCTTAAAAATTTCTAGTATGTAAGAAGCTTGGAAATCACCACTCTATCCTAACAACAAAAAAATGCTCAACAGACTAAAAAATCAACAACTCTTCTTGGATCCCTAAGTGAGGGGAGGGCACAGGGCAAACTAGTGCCCCCATGAATTAAGAGACCAAGAGGTGAATACAGAGCATCTATCATTGCTTACCAGAGCAGAAACGAATGAGCAGAAACTGCCAGAAGACCCAGTGTGGATGTAGGAAAATCTGAGCTGTAATTTACGAATTGCTGGAGGCTCAGTGAGAACAACTCGAAGAGTTAAAAACTCCACGGGGACCCAGTCATGGTGAGGGTGGAGGCAGGGGTGGGGGGGGGCAGGAACACAACAATGTGAGATTTATCTCTAGGAGCTCAACCAGATTCCGACAGTAAATATCAGAGAAAAATACCCTCTGGTTTCTGGCAGGGGAAGGGGAAAAGGAACCATTTTGAAATAAGCCAGAGCACTTGGTTCTTGTTACACAGGTCTGCCACTGGGAAACTAGTTAACAAGAGCTTAACCTGCAGGGGTATTATCAGCCTATAAGTAACCTGGGGAAGGGAAGTACCCAACTGCAGCCCACCCGATGGGAGAGAAAAAACTGAGAAACACTTGTGCTGTGCACAGCTCAGAGGCCTAAGCTCACTAAAACACTGAGAGCTAGTCATAGGGCTAAAGAACGCTTCCCCTACCCCCACATTACTAAGGGCTTATTTACAGCAGTCCCTGTTAGCTGGATATCATGTCTACATATCAAGAAATATTTACAAGGCATACCAAAAGGCAAAAAACACATTGTGAAGAGAGAGCAAGCATCAGAACCAGACATGGGAGGGATGTTGGAATTATCAGGGAATTTAAAACACCTATGATGAATATGCTACGGGCTCTAATGGATAAGGTAGACAGTACACAATTACAGATGGGCAATGTAAGCATACAGATGGAAATCCTAAAAATGAACCAAAAAGAAATGCTACAGGTAAAAATCACTGTAACAGGAATGAAGAATACTTTTGATGAGTTTATTAGCTGACTGGACACAGCTAAGGAAAGAATCTCTATGGTGGATATTTATCAATAGAATCCTCAAAAACTGAAAAGCCAAGAGAACAGACTTAAGGAAGCTCAGAGAACACAGGCAGGATAAATGCCTAAAAACTACACCTGGGCATGTCATTTTAAAATTACAGAAAATCAAAGAAAAGAAAATATCTTGAAAGAAGCCAGAGGAAAAAAACACCACACCCACCTTACCTAACTTACCTACAGAGGAACAAAGATAAGACTTAAATCCAACTTCTCAGAAACCATGAAGCAAGAAGAGAGTGGGGTGAAATATTAAAGTGTTGAGGGAAAAAACCCCACCAACCTAGAATTTTGCATTCTGTGAAATTATCCTTCAAAAATACAGGAGAAATAAAGACTTTCTCAAACAAACAAACAGAGGAAATTTGTTGCCAGCAGACCTGCTTGCAAGAAATACTTAGAAGAGGAAAATAATAAAGGTCAGAAACCTGCATCTGCATTAAGTAAGTTAAAGCACTGAAGGAGGAATAAATGAAGGTAAAAGAAAAAACTTTACTTTTGTTATTCTTAATTGATCTAACAGATAACAAGTTTTCAAAATAATAAAAGCAACGATACATGCAATTATGCATATATCAAATATATACAATTATATATTTATGTATGCTTATACAGACAGTTCCCAACTTGATGGTGGACTTACTTAACGATTTTCAACTTTATGATAGTAAGAGAGTGATACCCATTCAGTAGAAACCGTATTTCAAATTTTAAATTTTGATATTTTCCTGGTCTAGTGATATGCACTGTGATACTCTCTCATAATGCTGGGCAGCAGCAGTGAGTATTCTGAGCATGTTTAAGGTAGGCTAGGTCTATCAAGTGCGTTTTTGACTTACGATATTTTCAACTTACAACGGGTTTATCAGGACATAACCCCATTGTAAGATGAGGAGTATCTGCATATAAGTGAAAGAATGACAGCAATGATACAAGGGACAGAAAAAAGAAATTAGTATTATTTTGTTATAAGGTATTCACACTACCTGTGAACATGGTTTACTGTTATTTGAAAGTAAACTTGGATTAATTGTAAGTATATATTGCAAACCCTAGGGTAACCACTAAAAAAAGTAAAAAAGAAGTATAAATGATATGTGAAGAAAGAGAAAAATGGAATCATATAAAATGCTCAATTAAAACCACAAATGGCAGAGAAGGAGAGAAACACAAAAAGAGAAATAAAAAGCAAGGGCAACAAAGACAAAACAGTAATGAATATGGCAGATATTACACAAAATTACCAATAATCCTTTAAATTGTCAGTGATCTAAACGCACCAATTAAAAGAAAGATATTGGCAGAATATAACAAAATACAAGATCTAACTATATGTTGTCTACAATAAAGTCACTTTAAATATAAGGACACATATAGGTTAAAAGTAAATGGATGGGGCCGGTTAAGTGGCTCAGTTGGTTAAGAGCTCACTCAAGAGTGCGAGCTCTGAGCAACAGGGTCGCCGGTTCAATTCCCAGCCTGAGCTGAGCTGCCAACAGGTGGCAGGATGGCTTAGCTTTAAAAAAAACAAAAAACAAACAAAAAAAGTAAATGGATGGAAAAAATATACCATGCTAACACTAATCAAAAGAAAGCAGGAGTACCTGGTGATGTAACGTACAGCATGTTGACTATAGTTAATAATACTATATTGTCTATTTGAAAGTTGCTGAGAGAGTAGATCTTAAATGTTCTCGATACAAGAAAAAAAATGTAACTCTGTGTGGTGATGGATGTTAACTAGACTTATTGTGGTGATCAATTCGCAATACATACAAATATTGTATCATTCTGTTGTACACCTGAAACTAAAACAATTTTATATGTCAATTATACCTCAATTTTAAAAAAGAGGAAAAAATAAAATAAAAAAGAGTAGCTCTGATAATTTCAGAAAGAACAGACTGTAAAGCAAATAAAGTTTCAGGGATAAAGAAGGGTATTACATAAGGATAAAGGGGTCAATTCTCAAAGACGTTAAAAATTCTTGCTGTGGCGGCTGGTTAGCTCAGTTGGTTAGAGCACAGGGCTCATAACACCAAGATTGCTAGTTTGATCCCCGCATTGGGCCACTGAGCTGCGCCCTCCACAACTAGATCGAAACAACTACTTGACTTGGAGCTGATGGATCCTGGAAAAAACACACTGTTCCCCATTCCTCCCCCCAAAACAAAATTCTTACTGTGTATGTGCCCTACAACAGAGCATCAAACTACAAGAAGCAAAAACTGATAGAACTGCCAAGAGATACAGATGAATCCACTATCACACTTGAAGACTTCAACATCCTCTATCAGAAATGGACAGATTTCAGCACACATAAAATTAGTAAGGACGTAGCTGAGCTCAACAACACCATCAATCAAATGGATACAATGAAAATCTATAGATTATTTCATAAACAAGGGATTATGTATTTTTCTCAAATCACATGGAATATTCACCAAGATAGACTACATTCTCAGCCATAAAATACACCTTAAACTAAAAACACCCAAAACACAAAAAATAGTATTCACATAATGTCTGCTTTCAGAGTACAATGGAATTAATCTAGAAATCAATAACGGAGGGACTACTGGAAAAATCCCCAAATAGGAGGAGATTAAGCAACACACCAATAAACATAACAGGAGTCAAAGAAGAAATTTCAAGAGAAATAAAAATTCTTTGAACTAAATAAAAATAAAAATACAACCTATCAAAACTTGTGACAGCAGCAAAGGCAGTGCTTAGAGGAAACTTTATACGACTGACTTCAAATGTAAGATAAAAAGAAACACTATAAATTGATAATCTAAATTTCTACAGTGAAGTAGAGAAGTTAGTAGAATTGAAAACAGGAGATCAAGATCAAGACAATGAAGCAAAGACAGTTCTTTGAAAAGATCAATAAAATTGATAAGCCTCTAGCCAGACAATGGAAAAAAAGAGTACACCATTACTAATATCAGAAATGAGAGAGGACATCACTACAAATCTCACTGATGCTAAAAGTATGATAAAAGAATACTATG